CTGACTACCAGCTATGCGTGGGCTGCTCTTGAGTCTTGGTGGGGACAAATTCTTGGTGGCCTTGCATGGGGAGGAAGGGGATTTTTGGTCCCCCCCCCCCCCCCCGTAGTGGTCCTCACCTACCTTTGCTCTCCCTTTGCCACTTGTAGCTTGTTGATTGAATTACATTTTGTTTTGTTTTTGATTAAAATAAAATAGAGGAAAATGTAAATCTCCCACATTGATGGGAGAATGGAGATCAAGTCTCCATTCCCTATAAATACGCATGTTTTGGGTTTTGGGAAGAACACTTGAGTTGAACTCAATAAGGCATCTCCCTATAAGTGAGAAAACCTTTAAGTTCGTAATACTCTAGTCTTTTCTTGGTCTAGCCCCAACTAACCTTTGGGGTAGAGGCCGTTCGGGTTGGGTCTCGAGGGTGGACTCCGTCGGAGGCTCTCGCGCTTGCGGAGCTAAGGCTTTGAAGTCCGAGCTCTATAGGAGCGAAGCACGCATCGAGGGTAAAAATGTCTTTTCTCCTTCTCTCTTGTATGTTGTTAATTATGTGATTAAATATTTAGTTGCTTTAATTAGTGAGCGGGTCTTGGGCGGGTTTCTCTTCCGCGTAGCGTTGGACGCTACGAAAGCCAACATGTTGAAGATCCGGCCTTTGAGGGGCATCTGCACAATCAACACTTTGTAAATACTCTGTGTAAATTCGACCTATAGGCCGGCTGCTTTCAGAGGTACTGGTCGACTGTTGATTGAATTTGACCCTACAAGGGTAAGGCAAAGGATTAAAGCTTGTAATACCTTCGGCTGCCTCCTTTTCCTTTTGGGGTCGGCTACTCTCGGGGCCGGCTGGGGACTTAGGAGGATGGGTCCTTCCTTGCCTATGGGCCACATGTTTCCTGGGTCTACCAGGAGTTGACACATCCCCGGCCGTTTGCATCTGAAGCTTCGGGTCTGGCTGTGAAGATAGAGAAGGTTTGGATGAACCGCCCTGCATATAAACCAAAATGAGTAAGAAGCGGGCGGGAAAAATAAACAAAACTTAGCCAAATTGAAGAAAGGCTCACCTTGGGCGCTTGAGCTGCTAGTGGCTCCTCGCCCTTCTGCTTGCCCAAAAGGGAGCGGTAGTAGGCATCTGGTTTCTTGGTGGACGAGAGCTTCTCCATTGCTTTGTCTGCATAAGAAGATTCAAATGGTTAAGTAAGTGGGACAAAACAATTAAGTCTTACTAAAAAATTTAAACACAGTCGGTCGACTACCTCTCGGCCTCTCTACACTCAGATCGTAGGCGGCCAGATAATCCCCATCAGACAGCCAGTCATATTGGGGAATGTAACTTTGGGGAATGACCTCCTTCGCCCCAGTTTCGTCATTGGGCCGGATGGTCACTTTAAAGTGAACCTTGTCCAAGATCTCCTCCCTGGTTGTTTTAGGTACAGGCGGTAATTCAGATCTGCCTGATAGCAGAGGAGGGTTCAGGGTCCACCGGTTGTATTTTTTGTTCTTCATTTAGTTAGGAGAAGAGACAATGTAGAACTTGCTTCTCCAGTCCTTCCACTTGTCTCCTTTCCTATTGTCATTATATAGCCTTTGTGGCTAAACAAAGTGTACCATCCGGACCCGCTTACTTTAGGGGTCCGGCTGAGATAATGCATATGGGCGAATGCCTCGAAGCTGGGATCCACCTCTAGCATTTCACAGGCGGCAACAAAGCCCAGAATATTTACCCAAGAGTTTGGGGCCAGTTGCCAGATACCCAGCTGGTATCCATCCAAAATTCTCTCCACGACCGGATGGAGGGGGAATCTAAGACCGGCTTGAATGGCTGCCTCATAACAGCCAAAGAATTCGTCCCCGTAGCTGGACCCTTCTGTCCAGACTACGATGTCCTCGGCATCCGATACACATAAAATAAAGCCATGTCCCATGACATGGTCAGCTCTGAAACTCCCCACCTTATGAGCCATAGCTTTTCGCTTGCCCGCGGGAACGTGATGATAGTAAGCAGCAAACTGCTCTCGGCGGGAAGCAAACGGCTCGGCCCAGCCCTCGCCCTTTTCTATAGAAAGGGACTCTCTCGCTGTCTCCAGCCAAGAGCGCATTTCCTCAGAGTCATTGGAGGATCTACCAGAAGTACTTGGCTCGCACTCATTGTCTAAGTCGTCGGACCTAGCGTCCGCCTGGGGGCCTGTCGAATAAAGCTAAAGACATCACTCTCAAACTCCTCCCCTGATTCTTGCGAAATAGAATCATTGCGGGTACTTGGGGTGCCAGGCGGCACATCAGAGATTTCACTAACAGGCGCCCTAAAGGAATCGTCCGGGTTCTGCTGCCCGGCTGTTTGTTTAATTATGGCCATGGTGTCCTGCACAGACACAGAGACAGTCGAACTCGGAGAAGTTCGCAAAGGGTGGTCCAGCAAAGGGTGGTCCAGCAAGGGGCAGTCGGCACTCCTAGTTCTAGATTCAGCCGTCCCCGGTGACCTGCTGATCACTAATCTAGGCCGTGCCGTGTGCTTTTGGGAAACCATTTTCAAAAAAGAAAAGAAACAAAGTAAAATACTAGAGAAAAACAGGAAATGACCTTTAGTTTGAAGGTACTGTTGGCGCTTGGAAAAAGTCTTGGGCGGCTGTAGAAACATGCGGTCAGGTAGCAGGCAACAAGTGCTTTTCTAAGAAAAAGACAAGTTCTTTTCTAAAAGTCAAAGATTCTATGTCCGAATCTTGAGAATGTGCGAAAAATGATTGGGGTATGACCCTTATATAGGGGGGTAATAATTTCAAGGGGCACCCTTGAAAAATGTTTTTTAAAAAAAAGGGGTAAAAACCGTTCGCCTATCGGCGTGTGACACATGTCACAGGCGCCACGTGGCAAGCCACGTCACCCCTGTGAGGGGCAAATGATTAGAGGATTTTTACCCTGCCATGTGGACCAACCAGAGTCCACCCCACCTAGGGAGGAGTCCAAAGTGGACCAATCAGGGCACGACACGTGGCAAACAGATATCCAACTAGGAAAGACGGCTTTCAAGGGCTCAAACTCTTAGGCAGCCCAATCAGTCCTAGGTTTCCGTAACCTAGGACTGGGCACGCACTTCGAGATCCTATAAAAGGGAGATTTTCCCACCTAGGGAACGGGAGGGACTACATTCAATCCACACAAATTACGAGAGTAAATACTCAAATATTAAGGTTGTCTATAAGAGCCGGATGATCATCTCTCACCATAGAGAAACCTGATCCCACTTTACATTCCGCACTTTTTATCTTTCAAGTACGTTCTAACTTGATCGTCGGAGGCAAAACTCCACCCAACCGGAGTCTCCATTATTTTGCAAGTACAGGCGTCCGGAGTCCAGTCTTGGTGTTGTAACTCTCCCGAGAGACACAGAAAACCCTGAAACAGCACGCAAAATTATATATAGTAAAATTATCATGCATGACACGGGACCTAACTTAATATATGTATAAAGATGAGCTCATTTTCTCATGAGACTCATGTATATATGATTTTTTCTATGAAACTAAAATGATTGGATATCAGTTTATAAAAATTGATATTTTATAGAGTGAGAGATAGCTAATCAGGTGGTTGGGGCCCGACTCTAAGGGTCCTTGGATTAATTCTCATCACCCACCCTTATAACTAGGGGTGAGCAAGACCGGGTACCCGGACAAACATCTCGGACCCGGAACTGGATGCAGTCACAACCGGGTCCTGAAATTTGGAACTGGTCCCGAAACTGGTGGGTATCGGTTGCTAAACCGGGTACCCGGTTTCAGCGAAAATAAAAAAAAAAAAAAAAAAAAAAAAACTGCACCAAACACTTGTCTCATCGCACCACCACTTCCCCTCCCCCCCAAACGCAACTTCACCACGCCAGGCTACACCATAATGAATCCATACCAAATGAAAAAATACCCCCAAATTCTCAGCATTTCAAATCAACTCAAGATTCTCACTCTAAAAACATAGTAGATCTACAAAAAAAAATTAACTAATTTCAAAAAGAAATGAAAACTAAACACAACATTATAAGTTGATTCAAGAAAAAAAATGGCAAAAAAGAAGAGATAACTTACAAAAAATTCTATGAATAAAGATGAAAATGGAAAAGGGAAAAAAAAATTAAAAAAATTAAGCAAGAAGAGGAGAAGCTGTCTGACTTGTAGTTTGTATCTAGAAAATGAATGAAGGATGATGTGAAATGGTAGATGATAGGTGGATTAGGTTTGGTAATATTTTGGAGCTTTTGGTTTATGGGCTAGGCTTACTTGCAAACTTAGTCATACTTGATTCCAAAGATTTATATTGGTAATAGGTATTCACTGGGTACAGGGTCCAAATTATGAGGAATTGGAACTTGTCCCAGTTAAAACCGGTCCTAATTTTCGAAATTGAAACTAATCCCGCCGGGTCTAATTTCAGGTTCGGACCCGTCAGTTTCCAACCAATTCTGAATCCAATATCGAGTACCCAGTTTTTTTGCTCTCTAAGCACTAAAGAGAAATTTAATATTTTATAAGGTTAATTTTGATTTAAATTTTAAGAGCTTTAGAATTTTTTATAAAGATAGAATCGGTTCGCTCTCACCAATTCTTATGATTTTTCTAGCAATCATACCAAGGAATTAACAATTTTGTCTACAATTCAAAATATTTGGTGGATTAGGCTCGTAGAATCATACGATTTTTCCTATCTCGATCATAACATTAATAACATGCGGAACGATAGATTTGGGTGAAGCTCCACACGATCCGATCCGAATATAATTTATTGACATTTCTATCTACTCTTATTTCTTTAAAATACAGTATATTTATCAAATTATTAGTGTTGTGTCGTTTTCCGTTTACAAAATCGTGAATCTTTTGCCTACTATTTCACATCATTGACAATAAAGTTGGCAACTTGTCATCTTGTCATTGTATAATCTGTCTACTGAATCTTTGTCTATATAGCTAAGCAAAAGGCCAGTTGACGACTACGTCCCATAAATATACCATTAAAAAATATCCTTACGCACTATCTAGCTACTTTATATAAATCATAATGGCCAAATTCTTACTGTTAAACTTTTGTTATCAGAGAAAAAAGAAATGAAAAAGTAATCATAATGAATTCAAAGTTTTTTGAAGAAAAGTACTTAGACTATGTATTAGTTCCTTCTGGATTAATATTGCTTGGTATATACCATTTATGGCTTCTGCACATCATTATTCACCATCCTACAAGATCTGTTATTGGCCTTAATTCTATAAGCCGCCATCGATGGGTTCTTTATATTATGAGGGTTAGTTTTCTTCTCTTCTTAATTCAAAATTTTGGTTTTCTTGTGCTATTAGCTTCTATAGATCTTGTTCATTGTTGATTGATTGATCGTTTTTGAGCATAAACATATTTATGAAATGTTTATTAAACTATTTTAAAACCCGTGCAATGCAAAATTCTATAATATGGATTGATAGTTGACTAATGGTGTATAAAAATGTTTGGCTGGTAAACTCTTTAAACATTAAATGTATGATCAAATCCAAATTACTTAATTGGAGTACTTTATGACTTTGTATAAGATGATTTTATACAAGTACATAAATATGTCAATGGATAAATATGATTACATATGTACTTATGGCTTTAACTTTTTGTTAACTTAGAGTATAACCTGTGATGGTTTTGTGTCTAGGATCCAGCAAAGAATGGTATTTTGGGAGTACAAACGATTCGAAACAACCTAATGGCGTCGACACTTCTAGCAACAATTGCAATAACTCTGAGTTCGTTGATCAGTGCTATTGTGAGCAGCTCAAGTAATCTGAACTACACAATACACACAACTAAATATTTATCAGTTTTAATATGCTTTCTTGTAGCATTTTTCTGCAATATGCAGACAACCAGATACTATGCCCATATTAGTTTCTTGCTTAATGTACCATCACCCTCAACCGAAGGAAGGGAAGAGTTTATTGAATATGTCTCCGAACAATTGAATCGTGGCTGCCTGTATTGGTCTTTGGGATTGCGAGCATTCTACTTTGCTTTTCCTCTTCTGCTCTGGATCTTCGGCGCCATTGCAATGTTTGCTTGTAGCTGTTTGATGGCAATTCTGCTTTATTTCTTGGATACTGCTAGTTCTTGCCCGAAGTATATTAACAATAGTAACGCGAACAAGGGTACACATAAATCGGATGTTGAATCAATGTAAGTTAAATCTGATCACTAAGTATATCTTACGTCTATTATACAATCTGTTCTAATTGTCAGGACTCTAAGGTGATATGCTATTAATAATAGCACAAAATTCGAGAGTTAATAAGAATACGTATAAGTTTTAACTTTAATCTGTGTGATCTAAATGGATGAGGGTCAGACAATGTGACTACGGAGTACTATGACTAATTGACTACTATCAATGGTTACATGAGTATACGTTTATCTTTTTACTACACTAGTGACATAATTTCCATTAATTAAAGACTGTTTATGCAAATTTATTTTAAAGAAAAAAAATAGCTCCTTAACACATATTTTCGTATTTTTTGCAATATTAAAGTTGCTACTAGAGCTTAAGTGTACCTTTTTTTTCATGCCTTCTGTGATTTTCTAGGAAGTTCCTTAATTAGTTTTATGTTTCTTTGAAAATCATTTGCTATTTTGTTTCAATTTACTGCATAATTAGCTTGCAAGTCAATATGAATTCCTTGAATTATTTTTATGGTTACAGGGGAACAGATTGGTCAGGAAACTCTAACCTCCATTGCTCGCTACTAGGAAACAACAAGCCACATTCTACAAGTACTGATAATTTGTTCACTTCCGCGAGATAGTACATACCTTGAATGCAGCCTGCATAAGCAGTCTCCTGCGAAAAATTGGAAGGAGCATAACAAGTAATCTTTAGCTTTGACTAGTAGTTTTAATTAATTTAACAATTAGCTCAGAGTCTCAGAGTATTATGGTTATGTACTTATGTTTATAGACCATAATGCTCCGTAGTCTTCTGTATTGAATGCATAAAGAGAGCCATTGATGGTATTGTTGTTTGTTCTCATTTTCTCCATATATTAAATTAATTAATAATTTCTATTAAATTATTTACTTTTTTAATTCTGTTTTAATGTTGATTAATGCAAATCATTTCACTTTTATCTATTAATTTGGTCATTAGCCAAGCTCCACTTTCTTATTGTCTCTAATCCTATTTATTCTTTTTTTTCACGATTAAGTTAGTTCAAAAAGTTCTTCCTATTTGATATCTTATCATATATAATTAATTTTTGAGTTTCCCATCAACTCCACCAAGCAAAAGCTTGGTGCCTAGTAGCCCTATTTATTTTGATAAATATGATGACAAGATTGTAAATGTTGACATATGTATAAATATACCATTTAATAATTGTAACATTTAGATGTTATAATATGAGTATGTGCATATATTATTTGTAATTAATGTGTGTGTGTGCGGTGTGCACTTTGCTAATAGTTTTAGTGGAGATTTTAGTTTGTTTGATTAATTTTTGATGTTTATTAAAAAAACATTTTTAAATAAGTATTTACTAATATGGCCACTAGACCTGATCAAACCAAGCCCCGACTAAAACAATTATTGGGTTTAGGCAGCCAAAAAAATCCATTTTTATTTAATTTTTTGCTTTGCCTATTAATATAGATTATGACATTATTACTTATATATATATATAATATAATATATATATATATATATATATTATTATTTGTGTGTGCGCGCGCGCGCCGCAGGTGTTATGCACTTTTGCTAGCTAATAGTGTTAGTGGAGATTTTAGTTTCTTGTTTGATTAATTTTTGATGTTTATTAAAAAAGACATTTTTAAATAAGTATTTACTAATATGGTCACTAGACCTGGTCAAACCAAACTCGCCTAAAAAAATTCTCGGGTTTGGGCAGCCCAAAAAATCCATTTTTCTTTGATTTTTTGCTTTGCCTATTAATATAGATTATGAAATTATAATTTCTATATATTTGATATGTATGTTTAATCAAATTTTATTTGTTGGATATAATTAATTTTCTTTAAAATTTAGACTTACCGTGCATGGCACGGGCCTTAAGCTAGTATAATTAATTTTTGAGTTTCCCACCAACTCCACCAAGCAAAACCTTGGTGCCTAGTAGCCCTTTTATTTGATAAATATGATGACAAGATTGTAAATGTTGACATATGTATAAAAATACCATTTAATAATTGTAACATTTAGATGTTGTAATATTGGTATGTGCATATATTTTTTCAAATGGTAATACAAATAAATGTGTAGACAATACATCAAATTATATTATTATTGTTTCGGGGTTTTTTGATGTCCTGCGGGAGAGCTACAATTCCGAGACTGGATCCGTGCGCCTGTACTTGCGAAACAACGGAGACTCCGGTTGGTGGGAGCTCAGCCTCCGACGATCAAGTTAGAACATGTTTAGGAGTAAAAGGTACGGAAAGTAAAGGTGATCTGGTTCCTCCTAGGAGATGAAGGCTAGTTGCGGTGGGCAACCTTGGAAGGTGTGCAATTAACGCTAAGTAAGGTCTAGCAATTAATGTGCACGTGGGTAATCTCTGAATGAGTTAATCTCTCCTTTAATGGAGGCTAATTACCTGTATTTATAGCCTCGAAGTACGTGGTCAATACTAGGTTAAATGGTAAACCTAGGACTGATTGGGCTTGCCTTGGGATTCGGGCCTTGTTGGCCGTTTTCCAGGTTGGCAATCTATGTGACACATGGCGTGGCTTGGTTGGTCCATGTTGGACCTCCTGGGGTGTGACATGTGGCAGTCCCTCATTGGTCCACGTGGCTGACACGTGGCAGGTGCTGATTGGTCCACATTGCGAGGAAAAATCCCCTAAATATTTGCCCCTCACAGGGGTCACGTGGCTCGTCACGTGACACCTTTGACAGGTGTCGGCCTGTGATAGGCCGTCTGTTTTTTCCCGCCTATTTTTGAATTTAGGGTGTGACCCTTCAAATTCTGGGATAACCCTATATAAGGGCGCTTGACCAAAGTCTTGTTCACATTTTGTGAACTTTGCTAGAGAACTCGGAACCTTTGAAATTGTGCTATGAGACTTCTGGACGACTGATAATCAACCGACTGTTTGTAGTGACCGGCTGCTTTCACCGGACCAACTACTTTTAGACTTCCATCTCCTTTCTCAGAAAACTTCAAACTTCAGGTAACTGTCTGTTTTGCTCTTGCACTTTTTCTTTCATTTTTTTCTCTTTTCTTTTGAAAATATGGTATCCCAAAAGCACCCGGCACGACCTAAGTTAGTGATCAGTCGGTCACCGAGGGCGGCTGAATCTAGGACTAGGAGTGTCGCCTGCCCCTTTCTGGACCAAACTTTGCCTTATGCTCCAAGTCCGACTGTCTCTGTGTCTGTGCAGGACAATATGGCCAAAACAAAGAGGACGACCAGATATACAAATTCAGATGGCTCCTCGTACTATGTTCAAATGAGCGAGCTTTCGGACCGGTCTCCTGGTGCCCCAAGCACTCCAAGTGATTCAATTTTGGGAGAATCTAAGGAGGTTCAGGCGACCAGCCCTGTCCTTATTGATATGTCCGGACAAGAGTCGGCCTCTTCTGGGAGTTCAAGCAACTCTAAGTCTAGCTCATCCAGCCGGCATTCTCCAGATTCAGAAGAGAGGCATTCTCGTCTTCATGAGGCGAGAGCATCTCATGCTGTTGAAAAGGGGGATGACTGGGATGAGCCGTCTGCTTCTCATAGGGAGTTAGACATTCCCTACTATTGTCATGTCCCAAAGGGAAAGATTAAAGCCACGGCCGAGAGAATAGGGACTTTTTAGGCGGACCATGTAATGGGCCCTGGTTATTTTTTAACAGTGGCGGATGCTGAAGATACAGTGGTCTGGCCTGAGGGAGCCAGCTATGGGGACGCCTGTTTTGGCTGCTATGAGGCGGCCATTAAGGCTGGGCTAAGATTCCCCTTGCATCCGTCTGTTCAACAAATCCTGGATGATACCAGGTAGGGCTCTGGCAGTTGGCCCCAAACTCGTGGTTCAACATACTGGGCTTTGTGGCCGGCTGTGAAATGCATGGGGTTGAACCAAATTTTGAAGCGTTTGCCATATGAACTACCTAAGTCGGACCTCCAAAGCAAGCGGTACCGACTGGTACCAGATTTCCTGCCATAAGGGCTATTTGTTGACCAGGGGGAAGGAGAACAAATGGAAAGACTGGAGGAACACCTTCTTTATTGTTTCCAGACCCGACAAACTTTTAAACAAGAGGTACAACAGGTGGAACAGGGATCCACCTCTCCTCAGCCGCCTGTTCCTCGTCAAGCTAAGGAGGAGATCCTTGATCGAGGACTCTTCAAAGTAGAGATCAAGGCCAACTCTGCTACGGGGGTACGAGAGTTAATCCCCCTAAACTGCATACCCAAGTTTAGTTGGTTGTATGGCGAGTACTTCTTGGCCGCCTGTGGCGCTAGTGAACGGACCACTAGAGGTAGTCGGCCCTTTTTGTGTTCTTGCATTTTTTGATTAGGTTGTATTTTTACTAACTCTGTGATGCATTGTTTGTAGGTGAAGCCAAGGATAAAATTACTGATTCCAAGAAGGCGGCCGCCCTACTGCGTGCAGCTATTATTAGCCAGAAGCGGCCCTCCATCGACTCTCCCTTAAAGGAGGCGTCCAAGGTGAGATTTCAAAACTTGTCACATTCTTTGTGTTTTCCCCCCTTTTGACCATACTAATAACATTGATTTCTTATCGCAGGGTGGGGTATCCAAACCTCCTCCCTCCCAGCAGCCGAACCCCAAGGTTCGTAAGCAGACGACTGGGAGTACGCCTAGTTCTTCCAGGAAGCAACCGGCTGATAAGCAGGCGCAAACCCCCCCCCCCCCCCAAAGTGGGGCAAAGCAAACAACCGTCCCCAGGGACACTCGGCCTCCAAGAGGTATAACCTGTTTTCTTAGATTTGTCAACTTTCCTAGATCAGGCGGCCTGTTGCTTCCCCCCTTGTCTGATTAATTTTTCATGCTTTCTATTGCAGGCGGCCCTCAGGAGCCGGACTTGGTACAGATGGCCAAGTCTATGGTCAAGGCCATTCCCTCGGATGAGAGGGAATCAGTCAGGAGAGACAAAACCCTTGACTTGGACTCTATCATGGGTCTACTCTCTGAGGTAGACTTAATGGATTTTCTTTGATATTGGACAAAATTGGCATTGTCTGCCGCCTGTTTTTTTTGGAGATTTTGACGCTTGTTTTGTTGTTTCGCAGGCCTTGCTTCGTGTACATGGTCTCCGCAGACCTATCAGCGAAAAGAACAAGGAGGTAAAGACTGCGAAGGCCATGGCCGCCTCTGATTGTGACCGGGTAATGTTTCAGATTGCCCAAAATGAGATTTTGACTACTGACATTCTGTATTATCAGGCGACTGCCACCTTGTAGGTCAAAACTGAATTGGAGGCGGCCAAGAAGAAGAACTTGGAGCTGGAGAAGGCGGTCAAAGACCTCCAAGCCCAGTTGCTGCCATTGAAGCATATAGAGCATAAGGCCGAAGGTTTGCAAAAGACGGTCAAGAAGCTCAAAGAGCGCCTGAATGATCAGGAGGCGGCCCTAACTCAGAAGCTGAACGCCCAGGCCGAGACCGACAAGATGGCCCTTGCTGAAGCTGTGATGGAGGATTCCACTACCATCATGAAGATGACTTGGGCTGAACTCTTCCCGGACTCGGACTATGAGCGATGGGGGAACCAGTTTGCCGCCTGTACTGAGCAATATAACAAGAATATTATGAACTAGGCGCTCAATGAGGATGAACAGGAGGATGAGGCGGCCGGCTCCTCTTCTGAAGGTGAGGATGAGGATGAGGATGAGGAGGCGGATGCCAACAAGGGGGAGGCCGAGAAAGAGGAGGCGGACGCTAATCAAGAGCAAGCGCCTGCTAACGAGCCACAACAAGGGAGTGTGCTAGAGAAGCAGGCGCCCAATGTTGAAGCCGATCAGGCGGCCGCTGTTAATGAAACCCCTCTCTCCAATGTTTAAGCTGTTTATTTTTCCAACTCTTCTCCGGCATATGTGCCGTTTGTTCTATTATCTTTTTACCCGACCAAGGGGTCGAGGTCTAATAATATTTTGCCGGTCTTCCTGGCCGGCTGTTTATATATGAATGTGACGACTGTTTTGTCGTCTTGTCCATCAATCTTTATTTTGTTATTTCAGTTTGCCAAGTCTTTTTGGCAAGCATAGTATGTCTTCAATAGCCGCTTGTTTACCATACCGACTGTTCTTGCTAGTGTTCTTCCTTTTTGATTCAAATTTTTCCATTTGAATGTTGCTAAGTATAGAAGACATCTTAGTGGGTGCCGTAACTAACTATTATTGTTGCCCCTGGCTGACTGATTGTTTCTTTATCGGTCATTCGGTCATGAGTTCAGTCGGTCTACCCTTGAAAGCTTGGGATAGCAGACTTTCCAGACTTGGTGTATTTTTCAGGAATATTACCCAGGCCGCCTGTTGGTTGCGCTTTGCAACAGGCGGTTGTCTTGAGGGTTTTGAGCAATGGTCGTAGTAGGCGTAGTTGAGGAACTAAGTGCCTAGATCTTAGTAGGATTCCTCAAGCTAGGTTAGTTTAACTATTTACCAAGTTTGAAGAAAACATGTCGTCTGTATAGGTTCCAAAGAACGACGGGACGCCTGTTTTGATGGGATCCGCCTGTATCGGCTACAGACGTTCTCTTATTAGTTCTAGATGGAATAGTAGTGGACGACCGCCTGTTTTCAAGAACCACCATCGCTGATTAGCACTCTAGGAACCCCAAATCGCGGAAATATAATTTTCTTAAGGAGCTTGAGCACAACCTTATGGTCATTGGTGGGGGAGGGTATAGCTTTAATCCACTTGGTCACATAGTCCACCGCCACCAAGATATAAAGATTTCCACAGGAAGAGACAAAAGGCCCTATGAAGTCGACCCCCCAAACATCAAAAGGTTCAACTTCCGAAATGTTTTGTTAGGGCATTTCGTCACGTTTGGTTATGCCCCCACTCCTATGGCACTTGTCACACCTTGAAACAAATTTGTGGGCATCCTTGTGCATAGTTGGCCACCAAAGAAGAGATTGAGAGATCTTTTCCACGGTCTCTTCGACTCCTCCATGCCCTCCACATGGCAATGAGTGGCAATGTTCAAGAACCCCTTCGATCTCATGATCCGGAACACATTTCCGGAAAAGGCCATCTCCACATTGCTTGAACAAGTAAGGGTCATTCCAAAAATACCTCCTCACTTCCTTGAAAAACCTCTTCTTTTGTTGAGAAGAGAACTCCGGAGGAACAACTCCACAAGCTAGATAATTAGCTATGTCCGTGTACCAAGGGCTAGGTGTTGAAGCCATGGCCATGAGGGTTTCAAATCCCACCTCCTCATTGATCGGCACACCCTCCTTATTCTCAAAAGGAAGTCTAGACAAATGATCCGCTACATAATTCTCCGCTCCCTTTTTATCCCTCATTTCTATGTCGAAATCTTGGAGCGAAAGAACCCAACGGATGAGACGCGGTTTTGTTTCCTTTTTGGTCATAAGGTAGCGGACCGCTATGTGGTCCATGTATACAATCACCTTTGAACATATGGGGTAAGACTGGAACTTATCCATGGCAAACACGACTGCTAGCATTTCCTTCTCCGTTGTAATGTAGTTCTTTTGAGCTTCATCGAGCGTTCTACTCGCGTAGTAGATGACATGGGATCTTCCATCTTTCTTTTGACCAAGCACCGCACCTACTGCAAAATCACTTGCATCGCACATTAGCTCAAAAGGCAAGCTCCAATCCGAAGCTTGCACAACAGGGGAGGAGATGAGGGCTTCCTTGAGCTTTTGGAATGCTTCAAGGCAAGCCTCATTAAAGTTAAACACAATATCCTTTTTGAGTAACTCGATTAAGGGTTTGGCGATTGATAAAATTTTTTGATAAACCTCCGGTAAAAACCGGCATGCCCTAAAAAATCTCTCACTCCCGTAACGGAAGTAGGGGGGCAACTTAGCAATCACTGAAACCTTAGCCGAGTCAACTTCAATGTCCTTTTTTGATACTTTATGGCCTAGGACAATACCTTCCTCGACCATAAAATGGAATTTCTCCCAATTCAACACCAAACTCGTCTTTTGACACCTTTTCAAAACTTTTTCAAGGTTATAAAGTCATGTGTCAAAAGACGAGCCACCAACACTAAAATCATCCATAAAAACTTCAATCTCATTCTCAAGCATTTCAGAAAAAATGGAAGTCATGCATCGTTGGAAAGTTGAGGGAGCATTGCATAACCCGAATTGTATTCTTCGGTATGCAAATGTCCCATATGGACATGTAAAAGTAGTTTTCTCTTGATCACTTGGATGAATAGGAATTTGGAAAAAGCCGAAATATCCATCTAAGAAGCAAAAGAAAGCATGATGGGAGAGTCTCTCCAACATTTGGTCCATGAAGGGGAGAGGAAAGTGGTTTTTCTTAGTGTTTTTGTTCAACTTCCTATAATCAATGCACATCCTCCACCCGGTCACCGTCCGGGTGGAGATTCCCTCTCCTCCTTCTCCCTTGACAATGGTCATTCCACCTTTCTTTGGAACCACGTGAACCGGGCTAACCCACTTGCTATCGGAGATAGCATAGATTATACCCGCTTCACGTAATTTCAAAATTTCTTTCTTGACAACCTCTTGGAGGTTGGAGTTCAACCTCCTTTGAGGCTCATTTGAGGTGGATTAATCATCCTCAAGGTGAATACGATGCATGCACAAAGAAGGGCTAATACCCTTGATATCATCAATGCTATACCTTATCACATTTTTATATTTTCTCAAAACAACAAGCAATTTTTCCAAATCAAGCCCATCAAGTGTAGCATTGACAATAATAGGGTATTCCCCTTAATTTCCAAGATAAGCATATTTCAAAGATGGGGGAGGGGGTTTGAGTTCTACCTTGGGAGGAGGCTTGGAACTCTCCTCCAATTTTTCCTTCGCTAGTTCGAGCTATTCATCCCTAGGATCATCCTTTCCTCCATTTTGGCCTCTTCAATGGCCATGACAAACTCCTTTGCTTCTTGATAGTGGTACTCTTCTTCACATGTAAGAGCTTCAACCATTGGATCTTGAGGGCTCATCACAACCCTTCCCAAACGATCCAATTCTTCATTCACAACATCAACCCTATAACACTTCTCAACCATGGGGGTCTTGAGTAACTTAGAGAACTCTAAAACAATTTTCTCATCGGTTACCTCACATGTAATGGTGTTGTTCTTGCAATTGATTACCGCCCCCAAGGTTTTAAGAGCTTCACGGCCCAAAATCAAGGGAGTATCCACATCTTCCTCCATATCCATCACTTCAAAATCACATGGCACATAGATATGCCCAACTTGAATAGGGACATCTTCAAGCTCACCACAAGGTAGCTTCACGGAACGGTCGACCAATTAAATGGTTTTTCTTGTGGGGATCATCTCAATATTAAGCTTTTGAGCAATGGATAGAGGGATTAAACTAACACTTTCTCCAAGATCGGCTAGGGCGCCCCTAGCTTCCATGTTCCCAATCTTCACCGGAAAAGTGAAACTTCCTGGATCTTTTTGCTTCTTGGGCATCTTATGTTGAACGAGTGCACTCACTTGATGGGGGAGAGTGATAAGATCATCATTAAGCTTCCTCTTGTTGTTGAGAATATCTTTCAAGAACTTGGAGTATGAAGGGATTTGTGTGACAACTTCAATGAAAGGGAGGTTTATGTGCAAGTTCTTCATCACACTTAGGAACTTTGCAAATTCGTCATTCAATTTTCTCTCCGCAAGTCGACCGGGAAAAGGAATCGGTCCATCAAGGTTTCTAGCCTCACTAGAAGTTGAAGGTGTTACCACTTCCTTAGACTTCTTTTTCTCCGCACTTTTCTCTTTCTCACCATCCTTCTCCTCTCTAACTTCCTCTTTTTCACTCACACTCTCTTCTCCTTCCTTCTTTTCCTTGCTATCCCCCTCCTTGGGACCCTCATAGGATGTGCCCAATCTCAATGTGATTGCCTTGCAAGAGTCGGGTTTCATAATGTTGGAAGGGTTGGTTTGTGTTGCCCGGGTAGAGTAGAAGATGAGTTGAAAGGAACCCTCTCGGCCAATTGAGCTAGTTGTGAATCAACCATCTTGTTATGAGCCTTGACCTCTTGCATTTGTTGATTCATGGCTTGAAGTTGTTGAAGAATTTGGGTTTGAGTAGAATCGGGTTGAGATGCTTGCTCTTGACTCCTTTGAGTCGCTTGATTTTGATTTTGGTATTGGTGTTGATTATTTTGTTGGTGGTTCCTCGGGTAGTTTCCCCTTGGGTTTTGGTTTTGGTATTGGTTTTGGAATGGAGGAGGGTTTTGGTATTGTGAGATGGAATTGTATGGTTGTTGAGCTTGTTGATTCCATTGTTGGGGTTAGTTTGCAAATTCGGGTGGTGGTTGTCTCCAAGCTACTCCACCGCCATTTCCCCTATATCCATCTTGCCTTGTATTGTATGCCGCTACATGCTCCGGGCTCAAACCTCCACAATAAGATGTATCATGGTTTGTACCTCCGCAATTTTGACAAGAGAAAGAGTTGACTTGGGATAAGCTTACACCACTATTGACATTGGTGTTTAACTTTGCAAGCCCTTTTGTTAAAAGCTCAATTTGATGTTGCAATTGATCAACCTTTTCCAACTCATACTTTCCATCCTTCTTCGGTGGATTCCTCCTTTTACCTCCCCAAGAGTAGTTCTTCACTACCTCTTCAATTGTTGCTTCAACTTGGTTATGAGGGATTTTGATCAATTGTCCACCCGCCCCCGTATCCAAGTTAGCTCTAGACATAGGTTCCAAACCATCATAGAAGAACCTCATGAGCAAGCTTTGATTGTATTCATGATGGGGACATGCTTGCACCAACTCTTTGAACCTTTCCCATGCTTCACTAAGGCTTTCATCAGCCTCTTGTTCAAATGATGCAATCTTCCTTCTCATCTCGGCTGTCCTCTCTTCGAAAATGAACCTTTTCAAGAATACTTGGACAATCTCCCTCCATGTTGTGAGAGAATTAGGCTTGACTTGCTTGAGCCACTTCTTTGCTCTTCCCGCAAGAGATTTTCGGAATAGATGCATTCGGATGTATTCTTGAGAAACTTGATTGGTTTTTATCATGGCACAAAGCTCGAGGAACCTATCAAGGTGCTCAATAGGATCTTTACTTGGGGAACCCGAAAATTGCTCCGCTTGGACCATTCTTGTGTATTGTGGATGGATGGTAAAGTTGGTCTCCGTGACGGGTAGCAATATCCCACCGGTGAGCTCATAATCCTCCGGATTACCAAACTCACGAAATAAAACATCCACTTGTTGTCCCGCCATTTCCTCGCTTTGGGATTGTGAGGACCAAGAATCACTCTCACTATCAAAAATAGCACCAAGACCTCGCCCCTCTTCTTGATAAAGTCTACGGACTTGTCTCAAGGTGCGGTCAATTTCGTGATCAATGCTGTGAGTAGGAGGTCCTTGAGATCTTCTTTGCATCCACCAAAGCTAAGCAAACTATTATCAATGACTAGCAAGTGGAAAAAGAACAAAGTAAAGAGCAACAAATCCAATAATAGCGCAAATTAAGAGTGCAAAACAAGCCGTGTCCCCGGCAACGGCGCCAAAATTTTGATCGGGGGACACTAGGTCGTTGGTCTACTATCCTAGATCAAAACTACAATTTATATCTCCTAACCTAACTCTATCAATTTTACTTTAGATAATGGCAAGGTAGGGTTGATTCCCAAGGAAACGGGGTTGAGCACAATTAACACGATATCTAGGATAAATTGCTAGTGACAAAAAGGGGTTATTATGGTATGATGTTGAAGATTTCTATGATCAATCTAATTACCAAAAACAAGACTAAGTTAAACTAAAGAAGAAGGGATTGAACTAGGCACTCTAAATGAAAACAAAGGACAAGATTATAGTGATATCAATGGCAAAAAGCACTAGGGAGAGGGGGTTCCAATCATGACCAACAAGACACTAATGAAAATCAATAAGAAAATATACCAAGGAGTTCAAACTCTACTTGAAGCAATTCACTCTCATGCAACTACTCAAAGCAAGTTGACGAAATCAATCAACCCTAAACTAGATCATTCTCATGCATCTAATCTAAGATTAAAACATTGGGGTTATAGGTGCACACAATAACTCCAAGAATATTAAGCACAAATCATCAACTCAAGGTGAAATCCAAACAATAATCAATAGGAACTCAAATAAACATGATTTTCGCCCCCTTCCCTAGCTAAAAGTCTAAGCTAGAGAGAAGGGAATAGCCATGACAACTAAACTAAACAAGTATTCAATCCTAATGCAACCTAGCATGATTCTAAGTCAAAGAGAAATCAAAGAAACTAATAAAGCATGGATATTTATGAGGAAAACATGAATAAGAACAATAAAACTAAGTACTAGAGAAATAAGAGAAAAGAAATTGAAGGATTACCCAATCATCAAAGTTGTTGCAACAATCTAGAGGAAAACTTGAATATTTGATTACAAAGATTGAATCTTGAAGACTAATGTTTTCTCTCTCTAAAAGACATGGATTTTCTCTCTCTACAAGTGTTTTGGATGCCAATGGAATAGTGAATAATTCACAACATTCAAGCCCAAGACTATTTATAGTCTTCTCTAAAAATAAGAAAAAATAGGCAAGGGAGAGGGCTCTCCTAGCAGGCAGCCGCGCCTTCTCCACGCTGGGTACGATGCTCGCGAGAGCCAGCTCGTCGCGCCCGCGGACTTAAGAGCCGCGCCCACGGACTTAAGAGCTCCTCCCACGGGCTCAAATGCCGCGCCCGCGGCCCTTTGTACCGCGCCCGCGGCTCGACATCTCTCAGCCATCTCCAGAAACTCTCGTTGGCTCAGAACTGCACTGTCCGCGCCCGCGGCTCGACATCTCTCAGCCATCTCCAGAAACTCTCGTTGGCTCAGAACTGCACTGTCCGCGCCTGCGGCTAGCAATCCCGCGCCCGCGGCCCTACGCTGCTGCGCGCCCTCTCCTTTGTGGCATCTCCACTTCCTATGACAAGCTTCCTTAGCATCTCTACTCCATCTAGCGATCCAAGATTCGTCCACGAATGCTAGGTGCTATCAAAACACACAAAAAGGAGGTAAAAACTAAAAGAAAAGACAAAAGGGAAGGGAAAACACGAGAGGGAGCTAAAGTGACTAAAATAGAGGTAAAAGAGGTGAGAAAAGGTATAAGCAATTGACAAATCCGGGGGAAATCTCTAATGAAAGAGGGTGAAATGGTGGCATAAATGCCACTCATCAAAATCCCCCACACTTGCCTCTTGCTTGTCCACAAGCAAAACCAAGAAGAAAAAGACAAAACAAACACTACAAAGACAAACATAAAATGGCATGGCTTAGAAAAGCAACATCAAATTTCAAGGTGGAAAAATGCTTTATTCGGACTCAATCATGATAAACACCGTCAAAGAATATTAGCCCTTCTCAATTACATGATGCATGCACGTCTCAAGATGCCAATGGTTGCAAGAGTCAAGCCTAAACTAAGCATAGAGAACTAGTGAGTCACTCTCCGCCCTAGTCCCCTCTAAAACGGTCCGCGTTCCCCCCACTAGTTTCAAATCATCCCCCTAGATGGATCCTCTTGATTCCACAAAGGAACCGGAAAAAGAATTATTTTGAGGAGATAAAAGATCATCCCGACTTCTCAACTATGCATGCTCTCTCCATGGGGTTGAAAACTATCTCCCTCCACCGGTTATTAACTACGTACTCCTAAGGTCTAAGGGTCTTCATATGGATTGTAATGACACGGCTCAAGGTAGAGGTAGAGAGAACATTGAAATAGTGGTGGTAAGTCCTAAGTGAAGCAAGAGAGTGGCCAATTCTCATGGACAAAACTCAAGAAACAACCACAACTCAAACGGTCAACCAACATTTCGATTTCATCGCATTACCAACCTTATTCAAGTATATACAAAATAAATAATTTTCTCATTTCATTTTTCCATTTTTTTTTTAATTTTTTAATTTTTTAATTTTTTAATTTTTTTTTATATTGCATCACTCTTCTCAAATTTTTCTTGCATGCCCATATTTAGGCTTACTTTTCAAATCTTTGTTTCCAAACCAATTCCATAAATGATTCATGCTCATATTCATGACGCTCTTCACACTAGCCTCACAAGCCAAATGCTTCACTAACTAAAAGGGTTGGTAAACATAGGTCGTTAGGCTTATTCAATGACTAAAAGGGTATCCATTTATGATGAGATAAGGGAAAGTCAGCTAGAAGATGAGATGTTAAAGGCGATTAAGAAAAAGACCAATGAAGGTCAGGTGTTGGATTTCACCATTGATGATGAAGGAAGTATACGTTTTAAGAAAGGATGGTGTGTTCTGCAGAGTCGTGCGGATTTAAAGTAAAAATTGATGGAAGAGACCCATAATTACCCTTATTCAATGCATCCTGGAGGGGATAAGTTGTATAAAGACATGAAGAAGACTTTTTGGTGGCCCAATATGAAGAGAGAAGTAGCGAAATTTGTGGCCAAGTGTTTGACATGTCAGAAAGTAAAGATCAAGCATCATAGGCCTCAAGGAAAGGTCCAATCCTTGGAGGTGCCCAAGTGGAAGTGGGATTCAATTTCTACGGATTTCATTGGAGCGTTGCCTAAAACCAAGGCAGGGAATGACACTATTTGGGTAATAGTGGACAGGTTGACGAAGTCAGCAGCATTTATACCCATGAGAAGTACTTGGACTATGGATCAGTTAGGAAGAGCTTATGTGAAGTTTGTGGTGAAGTACCATGGGGTACCCACTGATATCATTTCAGATAGAGATTTAAGATTCCTGTCTAATTTTTGGCACATTTTGCAAAAAGGCGATGGGAACGAAGTTGTTAATGAGCACAGCATTTCATCCTGCGACGGATGGTCAGACTGAAAGGACAATTCAGACATTGGAGGATATGTTGAGAGCTTGTGTGATGGAGTATCAAGGGTCTTGGGAAGACCACTT